TTACTCAAGTCCCAGCTTCTTCATATTTCCAGAAATGAGATGTTTCACGAATCTCAGGAATCTCAGGAACCTCTTGTCCCTCTGTATAATATAATTTTCAAAAAGTATACAAAAATATGTATATTCAGGTGGAAGAAATACAAACAAGTGGAATTATTTCTTTCAATGCTACCAGTTTGGTCGGCTTGCGTTAACTTTGAACGTAAAATTGCATATGCAAAGGAGACTACGAATAGATAAAACTTTTCCTACAAATCGTCGATGGCACACATATACATACGACTCCTTGAAACCCGTCCTGTGCCTTGCCTGCACTGAATACAAACAAAGAAATAACAAAGTTTGTTCACGGAATACTTTCAAGCATGTAAATATATGCATTGAATATGAACGATATTTTTCGTATGCGATGTGGAAAATAAAAAATAGAAAGTATAATTAAAACCTAACGATTATTCTTTGTTTTATTTGCACTGATTGAAGCTCGGTTGAATCCTCAAGACACTCAAGATAAAGGAGATTGAAACGACATAGTTTTTTCAAATAAAATGAGTGAATGATTTTGTAAAAGTTGCTTGATATCTCGTCCTCCATTGTTACAACCGAAAGCGGTTTTTCTATGATGATTCCTGACTGTGTTTCAATGAATGCACTCCCGTGCGCATTACAAACCATTTATCTGCATGCACACACGCGAAGAAAATGTTCACTGCCATTTGTAACATGACGAAAAATATCGACTATATGGTCCGCCAAATGTAAAATGTTTATTTTTTGCGATTTAAACCAATAGCCAAGTAATATTTCACGTCAATTTAATTACTGTAATTGTTATCGCATCAAGAAAATATGTTTTCGCCTATTCTTAGAGGTAATAGTAGGTGATTAATTATTACGATAATCGCGCTTCTTATCATTAGAAGAAATCAGTTTAATTAAATACTTGACACACAACGTAGACTCTTTCACATTCCTTCATCTTCATTAAGGAGAGATAAGAGAAAATATGTATACATAAATGAGAATCGTTCGAGGGATTTTCCTTTCAGCACGGTAATTAGTTACACCATTGCGTTGGCGGCGTCTCGTTGCTTAGCTAGATATACATTCTTCGCGATTGCCTTATCTCCATTCCAAAGACAAGAAAACCAGCGTCATTGGTCGCGGTCGCATCTTTCAACGAGGACACGCGAAAGGAGGCGAGACAAGTATAAGACAAGTACGCTCAGCTCGACGGAGAACGGAAAGTGGATGCGCGACTACGTACATACGTAAGGTCGTATAGTCGGTTATTATGTTAGTCGATATGGCTCCGAGGTAATTAATACTATTGTTATGATTCAGACGGAATACGTCATTGTGCTTGAACGACGATGCAACAGTGCGATTCGGTCAGTGTTCGACCGTAGAGATTCGTGGTCGCTCGCTACTATTTTAGTCCGCTTTACGAAACGTGTGCTATTCCGCACGAGCTTTCCGGGCTCCCCAAGTAACATATTATGAAACGATAGCATGGTTGTAATTTATACTGAGTGTTATGAATATACGGAATAACGATGAGGAGTGATAAATATCGTGATTACTTTATAACAAGTCTCAACTAATCAGGGAATTCAAGTACCCAACTGTTGGGACTGATGGAGCAGAAGTACTGACGAAACAACGAAATGTGGGTGAAGAATCGAAGCAGACGGTGATTGTGTAAATGTATGCAGTGACTCAATATGCTGGAAAGGAAATAATGTTAATGTCGGACATCTGTGAAAACCGTACGGCGATTCTTTAAATCCGTTTTGTAGTAGAAGATATACCGATGAGACGATAGCGCGCCCATTGCGAAAGATCTTTCGAAAAAGATATTTACGAAATAAGAGGAAAGAATAATTAAGTAATTATGTCGTATAACAATCTCACCGATTCTTCGAGCAGAAACAGTATTTCAATTCAAGACGAAAAAGTGCCGAATGAGAAGTACGGAAAAAGCAATGTGCTTCCCATGCACAGAAGCAGCGAGGAAATCGCGGGAAAATCAAGTAAAGCGACTCAGATCGATTTCGCTCAATTGTCTTACAGTGCGCAAAGGACTAGACCGAATTCGCTGACTTATTTGTCGAAACCAACACAAATGAACGAGCCTAGCTATTCCTATTATAATTCTAGGGGCTCTTTATCCCAGTCTCAGAGCGACTTAGTTTTATCGCCGCGGAATAGGCATAATAATCGTTACGTAGCTTTAGATATGAGGCAAATGAGTATTCCGCTGTCAAATAATCATATCTCAGCAAATAACGTACCATATCCGTGTTGTTGTACGTGCGTGGGATCACCGGTGTCACCAACACCGACTTCAACTCATCATACGGAAATTCCGCAAGATGGTCCCGAAGGACTCTCTTGGAGAAGACTTCACATGAGTAGAGCTAAATTAAAAGCAACTGCGACGACGTCAGAACTGTTAAGTGGTTTTGCTATGGTGGGTATATATTACTCTTGAGTCAGAGATGACAATCCATCGTATTTTATCGACTATTGAAATTTCTTAAACGGCAATTCGTATGGTGATGATCAATTGCCATTGTTAATGTTCCCAACGTGTTTTCTTATGATCTAATCGTATCCGATGCGGACAATTATCGAACACCTATTAATTTTCATTGATGAATTCCGAGAGGGACAACAGTTCTGACTGATAAAGTCAAGATACTTGTCGGTTTGCATTCTTCTCGGGCGACTTAATTTTTCCAAGAAAATCTCTGTTTGTATAATCAGAAAATCCGCGTTACACAACATTTCCTGAAAATCATTAAACAGACGTGGACGACAATTCCGTGTAATCTTCAGTCTCGTCTATGATTATATAAGACAAATATGACTTTCTTTAACAATAAGCCTCGTGTTGACGGGAACGTCATCGATTGTTTAATAGATTTCGTAAATTCCGTTTCACAGTCATCGTGATTCCCGCGAGGAAACATGCATTGCACAAATCACTCAACCGCAAGATTTCTCAGAAATACCTGCTTTTATCGGCAGTTATTAGAATTCGTACGAGATCTCATTCATTTTTTTTATGTTTCCAGGTGGCTATGGTCGAGCTGCAGATAAACGACCCAACTGCTGTTCCCGAATGGTTATTTGTGATGTTCGCTGTTTGCACAACCGTCCTAGTATCAGTGCACATCTTCGCTTTAATGATAAGCACGTATTTATTGCCCAATATTGAGGCCATCAGTAAGCTTCAGGTATCGCGGCTGGTCACAGAATCTCCACATGAAAGAATGCGCAGTTTCATCGAGCTAGCATGGGCATTTTCCACAGTGTTAGGATTGTTTTTGTTCCTAGTGGAAGTTGCTATATTGTGCTGGGTGAAATTCTGGGATTACTCATTTACTGCCGCCACTGCCAGCACCATTATTGTGATTCCCGTACTCATAGTGTTCATCGCATTCGCTGTTCACTTTTATCATTCGTTAGTTGTGTACAAATGCGAGTCCTCAGTGAGCGACATGAATGAGTTAGAGACCATTAAGAGAAATCTAGACAATGTAACAAGACAAAGCAGTGTATGATTTATCCGCTTGCTCAATACAGTGTTTTGTAAAGATTTGACAAGTTTGTTAATTGTTGTGTCGCTTGTTACCTAGATTACTAAAATATCAAAATTATTCAAGATTGCATATTACTTACATTCCAAAGTATTATCAATTGTACTTAAAATACATGAATTATTGTAATAATTAAATGTACACGTAAACAATGTGATGAAAAAAACACACGTAAGTATATTCAATAACTTTACTTATCCAAGACGATCACGTGGAAATAGATCGTTCGTTTATTATATATAAAAATGTACATAGCTGTACGCATGCAAGTCGAGGATTGCAACAGTACAAGCAAAGTGCTCTTATAAGTATAATAGCTATATTAATTTTAGCATTTAGTTATATTTTATTTATGACTCTTAATTACCGATTTCCTTTTTTTTAAATGTGTTTCTCCATTTATCTTTGTCTTTTATTTCATACATCGTATTCTTATATATATAATATATATATATATAGATTTTCTCCAATTTGTCACTTAGTTTCTGGGAAAATTGAAGGATAGTTGAGTGAGTTATGTACATACATGCTTCTCATTCCGAAACTTGTTATATCCTAGTCAAATAAATAATCCGTCAGACTTAAAGACTCTCAATAACTAAGCGTGACTCACATACGTTCATGTAAAAAAGGGAAAAATATGGTTCTTTTACACATCTTTCATTTTCGCCATAAACTAAGTTAGAATCTTTTACAATAAAGGTTTTCTACATTGTTATATTTTTTTATATTCTATTTGTACAAAAATCTGATATACGATTTTAAGAAAGAAGTGTATAATCAATGGAAGAGAATAAAAAATACATTTCTTTCGTTATGAAAAGTATCTGAAATATTTGCCCGCGACAAAGGAATTGAAACACATTTTGTTATTGCACAGTATTTCTAATCGTATATAGATCTAACTAAACAGTTTATCTTAATTTATATTATATATACTATATTTGTTCGAACCAAATTCAATGCAATGAATTAAACCAAATGCAAATATAAAATATTAATAAGAATGAAGTTTCTAATAAAAAAATTACTGCATAGAACTGAGAATATGTACATCGAAAAAAATTGGAAGATATTTAATAAAAAGATTAACCCTGTATTTTATTGTACGTTGAAGAAGAAGTACGGCTGAAGAAAGAATAGAAAAAGTAACATAAAATGAGCTTGAACTTTTTCGGAACTGTAATTAAATCATAAGTAAATTCGCACCGTTCGAAGGTGGTCTCAAGTCTTATTTTCTGTTTTTACGTCTGATCAATTTTAAATAAATTTTGCTAGTTGTCCTTATGTTTTAAAGAGATTTTTTTCTGCATAAAAACATCTTGTCCATACCTCATTTCTTTCAGACGTGTTATCAATAAGTATAAATTGCTTGTGCAATGGACAGATAAGTGAGTACAGTATAGGAAGAATTAAAATTTTATACAAAAACTAATTAGATCATATCAAAAGGGAGTATTTGTATGAGGAAAGTATTGAACAGATCACTTGGTACATTTGACTCGCGTTAACATAAAGCAGAAGACAGACATACTTTTTTTATTCTTCAGAAAGATTACTGCTATTCATTTTTGTATATCTTTATATTAATTCATCAATATTAATAAAAATAAGGACAAGATACTTAAAAGAAAAACGAAATATCAACATTTTTCATACGAACACGATTACAAATATAATATTCACCTCTTTTTTCCTCCATCCACACTATGGATTAGACTTTACCTTCTAATTCAATATACAAGTGTACAAGTTATGATTACTTTAAACCAATATTACATATATTTCTGTATCCAATAATTTACTCTTCCTAATATTATATATGGTTCTAGATGCAAAACAAATTTTCGTTACGAAAATGTATCGCTCTCCTTAAGGATATCCTTACGCATAATATATATACAGACCAAAAATTCAGATATCCATATAAATCATTTTCGTTCGCTCTTAAGAATATCTTAAATAAAGTATTATAAAAATGAACAAAATAAACAACACGTTTCTGTCTCTAAATTTCTGGTAATCTACGGCAAATAATATGAATATTATGAAAGCAATTATTATTATATTTGTGTTACATTGCATAATATTGTATCATATGTCGTATTATATCATATCATGAATCTACAGTATTATAAATTGATATAAGAGAAATTGAAGGAAAAAAGAATTGATTGTATGTTTTAGAGAGACATCTCAACACGTTGGCTTTCATATAATATTATTTTCAGTCTTGTTTTTAAACATATAAATAAACATATAAAGTCTTTCTGGTGTCTATCCATAGCAAGTGTTTCGTCGGGACACTCTATATTACGATCATATATCTTTCTCGTCTTCTTATCACGAGATATTCATTTAAAATCAGGGCGCGAATACGTAATTTCCTTTTTTAACGATAAATTTGAATAACATTCCTAAAAACTGTCCAATCTATAGCCATGCTACACAAAGTTAGCAAGACGAATTTGACAAGTTGAAATGCTTGCTGTTTATCCTAATAGCAACTGTAAATTTTTGTTTATCTTTAAATACATAAAAATAAAAAATTTATGTACACGTTTTGCACAGAGAATGATTTGTTCAATTGCTAGCTCAAAATAAAAGAAAGTCACAACCTACACACATATGTTCACTAGATTTCCATGAAAACTTCGAATGATTATTGAGTTATTCTATCCATAACTACATGTTACACATATAATTAGTCTGATATCGAGAATCGATCAAATAATAAATAAAAGTAAACCTCTCTGTATACAACATCACATACATTTATATCATAGCTGTATGTATGCTAGTTATTAGTACAGTATAAAAAAAATTAAAAAAAATGAGTTGAACCAGCAAAGATATAGTAAACTTGCTGTAGAAGTAAAAAAGAAACACATATTTACTTTTATAAGAGAATCTGAGGACACGATCTTACATGTTTATTAAATCGTAAAAGAGTAACCAGTATTTTGTACCTATTTATCTAATCCATGCAATTTCAATCTCAACATCGAATTCAAGACACAAAATGAATACCAACGATGTAAATATAGCAATCAATCTTTTAAATATGTTTTCAAACTAGGAATTTAATAATCACTTTGTTTCTCAATTTAATAGATGTCCTTATTACTCGTGTTGTATTTTCAACATTGTATTAAAATCAATATGATACATTGCAAATCGTTTGCGTTGTTCATCGTGTGTGAAATCGTACTTTGCATTGTAGCCTTAAAAAATTCATGTGTAGAAAAAAAAGTTACTTACATTAAATGACATTCATAAAAATAAGGACGTTATGATAAGTGACAATGGGATGATTCTACAAAGTAGCTCCTCCCATAAGGTGTAACATACTCAACCTTGTTGTCAAACTTCCATATGTTTAGATGGTTGTTGAGATATGAATGGTTCGCTCCACATTCGACGTAGATCGCCCTGTAAACATTACATTCATTACAGTTCAAACATTTAAACATAAAAAATGTACGTCAAAAATATTAAGCAATACCTTCAAATATGCCATCGTCAGTAACGGCAATAAAGTGAAGGGCACAAGGTACAATAAGGCAGGTTGCGCAGCTTTGAACACTTCAGAGCTTACAGTAGCGGTTAGTAAACCAAGAAAATAACCGATGAGGGAACAATGGAAATAACTAATACGGTTGAAATGACGCGGGGGTGGAACTCCTGTTTCACAACCACCGGGCAACAATTGAGTCTTTTTGTACGCGTCGTACCGTAAGACGAAGCAAAGCAACAAGCCAGGCATAACGATATCTCCGAGGCCTAGCATCGAGAAATGCCCTGCTTGGTGCATTGACGGAAACACTAATTTTCCAGGCAAAGGAAGCTTCGGCGCTTCTCTTGCTACACCGCTTAAGTGCAATTTTCTAGCCATTAGATTTACTGGGTTATCTGCTGATCGCGTTGCTACCTGTTAATGATACAGAAAAATATTTGATCAGAATAATCTAAACTATCTTATCTATCTAGATTTAAACTAAAGATCGTAATATTTCTGTCAGACTTTACCTTAACCATTACGTTTGTGCTGAATATGTAGGATGAAAAAAAAACCCAGAAGACGTCATAAATAAGTAATCCAGTTAACAGTATAGTGGATACCTTCAGACTAGGTAACCGAATGAATGCAATGAATGCAACACAAAGTCCCATACCCATCGCGTCCATGAGTAACCAATGCCCAGTCAATACCCAGATGCATACTATACTCACACTTAATGAAAATGAAAGTAATTCTGCACCAGTAAACCTTCCACAGACGCCAAACGATATTTTATTACCATCTGAACATGGTCTAATGATATATTGACACATGGGCAACAGAAGAAATGCCAATGCAACTGTAGCTACAACTGCAAAATAAATATCATTACTTTCATACCATCCCTAATTGGTTGATGATTGACAACCGTAGACAACATAATTCTGCAACTTACTGGCTGTACAGATTGCCACAAGCATTTGCATGCTGTCGAAAAAGAAAAACATGACGAGTAGAGAAATGGAAGCACCAAGAGGTAGACAGAGAGCATGCATTGTATTTAATGTTTGGACTCTTCCACTAGCACCATCGGCATTTGTTGTGCTCAGAATAGTACTCAGAATTCCTTTTCTTTTAATACATTCTTTTTCTTTTTCCCTTTCTCTAGCTTCCTGTTCCATGTTTAGAGATCGGAAACTGCCATAGACTATCAATAAAATGGATATTAGGAAAGTGGATATTCTAGATGAATCCATTATGGTATAAGCCCTAAAATGAGGATTAATCATTGAACGTATTCACGTGAATAGTGTTAACTTCACTTAAAAACTACATAGTTTACATGACGATCAATATTTAAGTAATCTTAATTGTAAAACTGACCACTGATAGTCAACTTGATACATAGCCATCTTTAAAAATGCTTGGCCAAAGCATAAAATGTTATGCTAGGACACCTTGTGACATTTAAGTGTCCTATCCAAAAGTGCTCTCTGTTTGCACTAACTACATCAGAGATCATCTGTAAAAGCAATTTGTTAATATCGGTTCCATGAAAACATTCGACATAAAAGCATAACGTGATATTCTACCTGCAATGCTGCACATTCAGCATTGTCAAAGAAATTAGGCCTTGTACAACTTCGGTCACCCCCTTTGAATAACAGAACAGAAATGTGATATCAAGGACAATAAAATAGAAGATGCAAATTACCATCGAAAAATTTGCATGAGAAAACAAAGTTCAGTCATCCAGACAGGGAATGCAAAAAAATAGCAATACTCTAACACGTCAATGAGTATCAAAAGAGTTGTGTAATTAACATGGCAGTATTTATGTGAGAAAATACACTCAACGCAGTAAGTCGAAACTGTTTGTATGCGCCATTAAAAATTACGAAGAGCTTTATGTAAAGAAGACACTTTCATACGGTCACTTTCAAACTTTCGCTACAGTATCGCGTTTAACCAAACGGAGCACGAGTGCAACGATGTTATACACAATTCCTAATCTATAACGTATCGATGCTAATGGTAAGATTGTCGTAATCTTTGTTTCGGTTAGGTAAATATACCGTAAGTGAATAGACAAATGTTAAAAGGAATTGAAAATTATTTGTAAAACATAGACGTTCACCATTTTGGTAAACAGAGGGTCACGTGACCAGCAGTGGCCCCAAGAGGTTGCTACTCCCTTACCCCAGATTACGTCTCGATGTGATATTTTCAAGATCCAGGCATCTCACCTGGGCGGTCCGAAGCCTGAGTCTTTCGTAGGTTCTCTCATCACCTCATGTATATGCTACACGGTTCACGCAATAACGAGGAAATTGCAATAGAATGTGAAAACAAAGTGAAAAATGTATTAGCGCGCGATCGGTCAACTACCACAGTTAACTATACACTATACAGGTCAACTACTGCTTGACAGGCGCAGACCTGCATCAAGTTCTTCTACTGGGTGTTCGAAATGCTTTAATTTCAACGAAATAACGTTACATATTAGGTAATCGCAGAATCTATATAAGCAAGAACATATTAATAGTTGTAGATTGAAGGTAATGACGTACGACATGTAGCTTAATATATGTTGTCAAATTGCAGGTAAACATGAAAAATATATAGAATATATTACACAAAAGTCGAGCTTCATTACATAATAATTATTATATACATTGTGCTTACGTAATATCAGAATATATAAATTTGCATTGTTCACAATTTGTATGATACACTCTCTTATACTTGTGGACAGTATCATAAGGAAAAGAGAGGGGATATCATTTATTAAATGGTTTATTATATTAATGTATACAATTGTATTTTTCACATAAGAAATAATAATTCAAAAGAAATGAACTAGACACAACAGAAATCGAAGAAACTAAAAGTCTTATAAAATTTGTATGTGTATGTACTAGGCATAAGTATATAATTGTACGCACACGTAATGTAGTCTATCTCAAGATTTACATTTCTTTGTTTTACATTTTCACATTAGGATACTGACGTAAAGTGTGACTGCATATAGTTATTAATATATTAAAATGTATAATAGTTAACCGTTACGACAATAGAATAAAGAGGCTTATTGCTAGTATTGAAGTACTCACTTCTTACGTTGTCCAATCTGCTCAGATAAATTAAAAGCTTAGTTTCGTTGAAGATAATGGTCAGTATCAAGCATCTAATCAAAGTGTGTATACCGAGTGCTTCCACATGACATTTCTCTCAACTGTAACTACATACATTTATTCGAGCAAACTGTACATATATTTTTCTAAATGACCGAACGAGCGTATTTTCGTTGGCGTTTTCGTTTCAAGAAGTACGTAAAAAAAAGGAACATTCGTTCATTCCTGCCGCGTAACAAATTCATCTACATAACATTAATCGTGCATTAAGTATATGTTCCACGTTCGAGACTGGTGCGATTCGCGATGTATATAATACATATACATATACGTCAAATTATGTCATGTGTAGATTTACTTTTCTATATGTAGTACATATGTAAGATCGATGTGAAAACGTCAAGGATGACAGTAGCTCTATATAATATCATTTACTTTTACAGACGCTAGTAAGTTTTTATCGATTTAAATCACAATTGGATAATCTAAACAGTACAATCGACATGTAGCTTAATATATGTTGTCAAATTGCAGGTAAACATGAAAAATATATAGAATATATTACACAAAAGTCGAGCTTCATTACATAATAATTATTATATACATTGTGCTTACGTAATATCAGAATATATAAATTTGCATTGTTCACAATTTGTATGATACACTCTCTTATACTTGTGGACAGTATCATAAGGAAAAGAGAGGGGATATCATTTATTAAATGGTTTATTATATTAATGTATACAATTGTATTTTTCACATAAGAAATAATAATTCAAAAGAAATGAACTAGACACAACAGAAATCGAAGAAACTAAAAGTCTTATAAAATTTGTATGTGTATGTACTAGGCATAAGTATATAATTGTACGCACACGTAATGTAGTCTATCTCAAGATTTACATTTCTTTGTTTTACATTTTCACATTAGGATACTGACGTAAAGTGTGACTGCATATAGTTATTAATATATTAAAATGTATAATAGTTAACCGTTACGACAATAGAATAAAGAGGCTTATTGCTAGTATTGAAGTACTCACTTCTTACGTTGTCCAATCTGCTCAGATAAATTAAAAGCTTAGTTTCGTTGAAGATAATGGTCAGTATCAAGCATCTAATCAAAGTGTGTATACCGAGTGCTTCCACATGACATTTCTCTCAACTGTAACTACATACATTTATTCGAGCAAACTGTACATATATTTTTCTAAATGACCGAACGAGCGTATTTTCGTTGGCGTTTTCGTTTCAAGAAGTACGTAAAAAAAAGGAACATTCGTTCATTCCTGCCGCGTAACAAATTCATCTACATAACATTAATCGTGCATTAAGTATATGTTCCACGTTCGAGACTGGTGCGATTCGCGATGTATATAATACATATACATATACGTCAAATTATGTCATGTGTAGATTTACTTTTCTATATGTAGTACATATGTAAGATCGATGTGAAAACGTCAAGGATGACAGTAGCTCTATATAATATCATTTACTTTTACAGACGCTAGTAAGTTTTTATCGATTTAAATCACAATTGGATAATCTAAACAGTACAAATACATACATGTAGCATAATATGTGCTGCATTATACAAAAAGACTTCATTGAAATCATTTGTACTTTAAGTTATCATATAAAAGTATTATCATTAAAGACACTGGTTATTCTTTGTCATATCACTTCTTTCATTGTAAGAATAGGCAGTGATAAAATGAGTCAGTGATTAAGAGAGAGAAAGAGAGAGAGGGAGAGATAGTGAGAAGAGAACTATTAGAAAGAGAAAACGTTAAGAAATCTGCAAAATCACAGATTACCCATAATCAAATTTGCATGTGTTCGTATATACACAAATACAAAAGTACTATAAAGGTGACTCGGGAATAAAGGTTAGGTGACCGTCACCGACGAACGTGGCACGCTGTGCAAAACTTGGATCCATATTATTTTCGAATAATATTGTCACATCGTGGTCTTGAATGCGCGGTCCTTCGAGTCTGTTCGTATCGCTGCTGGTGTACTACGAAATTACGAACTAACAAAACTAGTGTGTATAAGTAAAATTCGATCTCAGAGCGCAGAGCGCACAGTCTGTGGACTAGGGACTAGACTAGACGGAATAATCAAAATGGTGGCCGTGCGACTCGGGTGATGTGTACACAGATATTGGAATACATTATAATTTCAGGAGAAACGCGTGTGAACACGCAACCCGCATTAAAATGGGCGACTTGAAGGCTCAGCATGGTACGCAGGAGAAGAATGGCTGGCTGTTTAAATGGACTAATTATTTAAAAGGTTATCAACGAAGATGGTTCGTCCTGTCAAATGGCCTACTGTCGTATTACAGGTAGTGTCCTACGTGTCAGTATTTTCATTTTAGTTACTTTACTTTTTTTAATCGTGCATAAAGTCACGCTAGAAACTGATACGATTAGTATTCGTGATGCGGACTTATTTACCGGTCTCTTATCCCGTACTCTTGCTGTCTTTCAACAATTTATTGTAAAGGAAAATCCTTTCAAATGTAATACGAAGCTGTTTCGTGTTTTCAATTGTCTCACACATCGTTACGCTTAAAATACGTCCCTATTTTCCTGCAAGAAATGACACGTCAGTTTTAGTGTCCTAAAGTACAAGTTTAGAAATAATTATAGTTAGGTGTATATATAACTTTCCTTTTCCATCTGTTAAATGGATATACATAGTCACGTCAAACCCAATTCATAACTTCTTACATATGGTTCAATAAAAAAGAAGATAAATTACTTCAACGCGTTATTGTACTAATATGCACTGTATAAATATAATGTTGATTCCTAACAACATGATTTAATATATCAGATTTTACCTCAGATAATATATATTACAACTGTAAACATTACTTTTAGTTACCTAAATGTTAGTTGTACAATAATGATGTGTTATATAAAGGAAATACGAGGAACAGCTTTGGATTATGTATTTAATATAGTATTGAATCATGCTTGTGATTCTGTCGGTGCTATAAACATTTTGTATTATAAGCACAATAAACAAAGTACAGTACTAAACATTTAACATTTTAAAGTTGCATGTATATAGGCAATCAGTGCAGGCTCAGTTATGAACATCATCTTTACGGTTTATCCAAGTATATATGTAACCAATTGCATGGTACGCAGGAGAAGAATGGCTGGCTGTTTAAATGGACTAATTATTTAAAAGGTTATCAACGAAGATGGTTCGTCCTGTCAAATGGCCTACTGTCGTATTACAGGTAGTGTCCTACGTGTCAGTATTTTCATTTTAGTTACTTTACTTTTTTTAATCGTGCATAAAGTCACGCTAGAAACTGATACGATTAGTATTCGTGATGCGGACTTATTTACCGGTCTCTTATCCCGTACTCTTGCTGTCTTTCAACAATTTATTGTAAAGGAAAATCCTTTCAAATGTAATACGAAGCTGTTTCGTGTTTTCAATTGTCTCACACATCGTTACGCTTAAAATACGTCCCTATTTTCCTGCAAGAAATGACACGTCAGTTTTAGTGTCCTAAAGTACAAGTTTAGAAATAATTATAGTTAGGTGTATATATAACTTTCCTTTTCCATCTGTTAAATGGATATACATAGTCACGTCAAACCCAATTCATAACTTCTTACATATGGTTCAATAAAAAAGAAGATAAATTACTTCAACGCGTTATTGTACTAATATGCACTGTATAAATATAATGTTGATTCCTAACAACATGATTTAATATATCAGATTTTACCTCAGATAATATATATTACAACTGTAAACATTACTTTTAGTTACCTAAATGTTAGTTGTACAATAATGATGTGTTATATAAAGGAAATACGAGGAACAGCTTTGGATTATGTATTTAATATAGTATTGAATCATGCTTGTGATTCTGTCGGTGCTATAAACATTTTGTATTATAAGCACAATAAACAAAGTACAGTACTAAACATTTAACATTTTAAAGTTGCATGTATATAGGCAATCAGTGCAGGCTCAGTTATGAACATCATCTTTACGGTTTATCCAAGTATATATGTAACCAATTGTAATCACAGTACTATTCAAAACTCATTTTCTACATGTTCCATACTTACATATTTTAGTTTGAGTAACATCCTGAGCATGTACATGCCGCAGAACGTATTGAAATTTTTATACAAAGGAAATATTTGAAGATCACAGGGACTGCGTATTTTGTGTATATATACTTGCTTCTACATTTATCACACGCATCAGAGAAAATTTATTGCATATTTGACTTCTATTCTTCTTTTCTCCCAATATAGCGAAGTTTTACGTTCGTTGATTCCGTTTACTTTTCACACACACTAGTTTTCTCGGGAATGTTATAAGGCAACGATGTTTTGTTTCCTCATTATTGGTTGCATACAGTAATGATTTGAACAATTTTTCACAATTTTAAGATTGAAATTCGCTCTCATATTTACTAATCGTGGATACAGGTACGAGTGTAAACGTGCGTATACCTAAAATGTACATTGTTCTTTATATTTAGAACGTTCGCGTTCCCTGAAAAAATGCAACGCCTAAGTCTTCTTTTAATTTTCCGCTTGGCACAGTTGTATGACTTGAGTTTGCAACGCCTTTCTAAATAGCAAAAGCAGACTATGTCCTGCAACTTTATTTTTTCACGAATCCTAATTATTTACATGTCGATACACCACACGAAGTGTGCACACACAACGCACGAACGTGATATTGTATATAAAGTAAATTGGCAAATAAGTAGGAAAGGAGCAATAGGAAAAAAGAAAGGAAATGTATAATGATATACTATATGTATCGAATGGCGAACGATTCGTAGGAATCCGCGTAAGATAAAACGGTGACAGAGGGATACTTTCTTGAGACAGTAAAAAAAAAATACCGCTTTGATACAATATTACACAATGTGAACGGGGCCTATTTGTTTTATGGACTGTTTAGGGCTGAACCAACAGGGGGGCCAAAGATATCAACACGACGCAAGCGGAAGGCTGGCAGAGCCTCCGAGTAAGTAAAATTATCGAAAAAGCCGAAATATCCTGACTCTTCTTTAAATTGAACTGTTAAAACAGATAAAGACAATGGAGTTTCATTCTCATTTCATTATACAGTCCTTACCATATTATGTATATATATACTTTATACATATATATATAAATCTACGTATTATTAATACAATATTATTAGTCTTCCTAATAATTTTACATACTTTGCTTCCTATATTCACTTCTTACATTCGCCAGTGATTTAACTTACGGTATAAAAAAAATTCTTTTCACCCCTTTGTTAATATTTTCTTTTAAGATTAATTTTCAGTTATAGTTATATTTAAAAAAAAAAGATACAGTAAAGTTATATATTTTTGTGTTCTGTGTGCGTACATATGTATTTATTGCGATATAAAATATACACTGCTTCAGTTTGTTAATACAATACGTAGTTAAAATTACGTTCAGGAAATATCCTGAAGGTCTTCATGGAGCGTCTAAAGTCTAAAGCTTTCGTTGGATAGTTGGGAACGTTCCAAGAAATAATTCTGGAACATATACATGTAGATCAGCTGGTATCAGCGAGTACCAACGATGTTAATTGTTCAATATTTGGGGAGGGGCGTTATCGTATATTCGTTATAATGGATTTATTTCCTCTTGTTAAAAATTATTATTACAACTACTTTAGACCTTCTAGGATATGTCGCACAGTAATTCTGTTTTACTTTATATGGAAGTCTTACGTTTACCAGAATCGTTTCATTCACTCATTTACTCGTTAGTCGTTACGTTTAAAATAATGTGCAGCAGAACAAAAATAAGATTCACGCTTTCTGTTCAGTTCTAATTAGTTCCGTTTTTTCGTGTCTTATTTGTATCTGCAATTGTGTTTAAACGTCTTACACTCCATCCATCCCCCTGTTCTCCAATACCCCCAATGGATATTTACAGTTGATATAAAATTCAACTGTTATATATATTTTTTATATACATGTCACACAGGAATTAAACACTCGTTTCAGATGTATTATATACATACTTATATTTCGTACTAGAAAATATACTAAGAATTTGTCTCGAATAGTTCCAAGTAATTTTTATAAATGAAAACTTCGCGTCACGATACCTGTGCTCTATGCGAACAATATGCAATAATAATTTCTGAACGCGTTAACATGGCTATGGTTATTCGTATATGAAGTCTCAATCCTTTGCGTGTTAGATCTAATTCCACTAAACCTAAAGTATATACACAACTGAATCCGCGAGCTAGACATCCGTTCCTCTTCTTTCAATCATCGGCTTAAAAATTTTGAACATTGTACATACTTATTCTTTTGTTCTCTTTTATTTTCATTCATCATGATATACTAGTTTGGGTTTCTCTCTTTGATTGAGTTGCGTGTAGGGAAGTATAGTGGCGTGCAATCAAAGAGATGGTAATGGGACTGCTTGAAAACGAGTAACCGAACCTGCTAATTTTCACACGAACTTCGTTTGCTGCGCTCTCATTGCATTTACACCAGGGTGTCACAGATTAACGCAGACTGTCGTGTGTCCGTTCATTCAGTTCCCTACATACATGTGGCATACATGTTACAATGTTACAGTGTAGTTTCTGCCAGACCTTATCTACCAGTCAGTTTCAAGTCTCTACGTATAACAGTAGAAGTACAGTTTTTCTTCGTAGAGACATTGCTTGTTCTGTCAGATTCGTATACTTGATCTTTGGAACATGTTTTTTGTATCGGAGTTGTCTCTTCGTTTTAAATCAGGCTAATTACAAGATGTTCAGATACTCAATCAAGTTCTCAGGCGGCTTGGATAAACCTCGGATACAGCAAGCGACTAATTTGCAAACTCACGTCTGTCTTTTTCTGTGTCATTCGACTTTCCATTGGGCAAAGAATTTGCTCGCGGAACTGTCGGCTATTTCTCTTCTTTGTTTAGAAACCCCTCGGAGATGTCGCATACATGCCGCGGCACAATATCTTTACACGGGGCCTTAATACACACCGTAGACGCTTGCACTTTCGTTGTGAGCAACGGTGGCACGCAAACCTTCCATATCAAGGCGGCGACGGAGGTAGAGCGTCAGCAGTGGGTCACGGCCCTTGAATTGGCGAAGGCCAAGGCCATCCAAGCCATGGAATCTGGTCTGTATTTATCAAGTAATAATCATCTATTTTATGTCTTTAATTGTTGAAGAGAAAGAATTAATTATATCAGCTGGTTAACTATAAAGAAAAAGAGTAGAAACCGTATGTCTATATGTATACTTCAAAGTAAGAATCAATTGCTTTCTTGAACTAATGGACCTCTTAACTGTTTACAAGTAGTATAAGATACCATTAAAGGTAATTGTCCATACTATAGCAACTCTTATCACATATACTATTTAGAGACGGTACATTTTTTCACGCACCACTGAATGAATGATAATTTAAGCGACAATTAAGGATGTATTGGCT